ATGATGTAAATAAAGCATGTATACAATCGCTTGTAATACCCCAAATATATATTGGCGCTAAAGCCATTTACGGCCGTTCTCCACCTCTAATTTGTGGTTTTGCGTCTTGATGAACGGACCTACAGTTTATACCAAGCCGCCTCAGAACGGCTGATGGTTTTATTTTACGAAGAGCCTTTATTTAATGTCCGAAATACACTTGAAGGGGTGGACATTCCCTGCCGAGGGGAGACCTCAATTAGAAAATATAACTAATTTTTTTATTTAAATGAACTTTCCATTACATTTGGATGTTGGTGGCATCCGGATTTGAACCCGGGCCTTCGGAATGTCAGTGCGCAATGCTAACCACTCGTCCACCGCAGCCGCCAACCACACGCTTATACTCAATTATTATTGTGAAAATTAATAAATGAATGTTATAATAAACTAATTCTTAAATTTTAAAACATTCAATTAAATAAAGATGGTGTTTATTATTTCAATTAAAAGAACAATTTTAATGAAATGCTTCAACATTGAAAAGCTGCCAAGAACCCATTCATGGAATAAACCGAAATAACAATTTAAAAATATACTTTTATACATAAAAAAACAACAAAAAAGAAATAAATAAAATTGCGAGCAATAACCAGAAACAAAGAACAAAGGAAAATTCTAAAAACAAAACATAAAGTGGCGGTGACATTTAATAGAAAGAAATATTTGTGTCTTTACCAATATATAAATACTCAAATACATAAAAAACATACACACAAACCAACAAACAGTGCTGGTATAAATACAATTTAATAAAAATAAAAAATAGAAGAAAAATACAACTACTAAATGCATAATAAATAACATGTCAAATTACAAATACATACATACATGCAAAAAAAAAAAAAACAAATAATAAAAAAAATTAATTGTTAACCCGTATGAAAATAACTCTAAGCGTATATGTACATAAATAAATGCGGTAAAAAAGCCACAAAATTATATATATACATGCAGACACACATAGGAAAGTGGCATGATAACATAAAGCAAGAACATAAAAATACACAACATATAAGCCAGCGTATGTAAAATATAAAATATATATATTTTTACATACAAAATGGAATTGATATCAAATTTAAATTAATAATATGATAAAAAAAAAGGGTACAGCTAATACATGTCGCTGAAAACTGGGATAAAAGTAGCCGCAGCAACAACAACGTCAATATGTAGAAAGAAAACTCAACCGAAGACAGTACATCAGCACCACACAGAAGACAACAATAACTCACTAAGGTCGCAAAAACATGAGGACTACGATGTCTCAGTGAGAGGAAACAGACTGCCTACCTTGCAACCTTGCGATCGACCACAACACGCGCAGGTTGGTGTAGATACCGAGAACTGAAGAGGGAAGCAAGACGCATTTGCAGACAATAAAAGAAATAGGCCGATATGAGTGAGAACGTAAAGCTCGGGAAGCTGGTTGACAAGGGTAATGCCAAGAGCTGCCTCTACGCCGCTATGTCTGACTTTGGTACCCTCGCAAAACTTATACGCCTCTGTAAACCGGCGCTAGACAACACCAGAAGCGCAGTCGAAATCGGGAAGGATCTCTCCGAGCCGTTCGATACTGAATGAGGCTTCAGACAAAGTGGTCCTTTAGCGTGTGATACCTGTAATTTGATGTTGGAGTAAATTATGACAACTGCAGAGCTGAATATAGAAGGTACATATTTCTATAAGAGTGCTCAGCTGCTGGCGTACTACGATCATTTTGACATTATTGACATCAACAACCGCGCCGCGAATGCTGCTTTCTCCAGAACCCAGTCATCAAACAAACAGTCATCGTTTTCGCGACTCGGTCCCACGTCACTGTTGACTGTCATAACTTCGAGGTTGTAAATAATTTCGTCTACCTAGGGATAGCATTAACACCAATTATAACGAAAGGAGACGAAACTCTACAAGTCACTCATCGTTCCCGTTATGCTATATGGTGCTGATGAGTAGGCGTAAGGAGCTTTCGATAGAATGGTTTTGCGTAAGCTTTATGATTTTTTGTTGAGCACTCCAGCTTTGGAAGTTTTTAAGTAGTACCTACCAGTGGAAGTAGAGGAAGAGGCAGACCTCCACTCCGTTGGAAAGACCAGGAACAGAAGGACCTGGATGTACTTGGTATTTGCAACTGGCGCCAAACAGCAAAAAGAAAAAATGAATGGCTCAATGTTGTTGAATCATGCATAATCTGCTAAGCGGTGTCTGCGTCAGTAAAGTAAGTAAGCAAGACTATTGCTGAAGATATCCCTATTTTTAAAACTGAATCCAATTTTCTTTGCAGCCTCCATCGTAGCAGATATATCCGCCTGGAAGACATCAAGAGTGTTAAGTGGTCTTAAAAAGAGTTCTGACAACAATTTCCCCTGACGTTTTGACCCGTTCTTGGAGTATTGTTATTATCTACCAAATCTGCCCTGATGGGATCTCGTTTTCTATAGTGGTTATGGGTTAATACTATTGACCATATCGATCTGTATTACTTGGTATAAAGTCGCATTACATTTAGAGCCTCACTTGGCGTGCTATTAAGTGCGACAATGATAAAAACTGAGGAGCTTCTTTGAATCTTATCTAAGAGTTTAGCACTTGAAGTTTTATTTATAGCTGGCCACCACACGATCGCACCGTAAAGGAGCGTTGGTCTTACTACTTACTACATATTGCTCTTTTAAATATATAAAGGGCTGTTGCAGCCTTTTCGTATCTTTGAATAATAATATCTTTCCGGTTAAGTTTTTTGTCTACGGTGACTCCTAGAAATTAAGCTTTTGATCACAGTCTAAGTTTGACGCCGTGTAGTACTAGTGGGTTGATAGCGGTGATCTTGTATACCCTTGTGAATAGTATAAGCTCTACTTTGCTTAAGTTGACACAGAGGGTAGTCCAGGACGAAACTTTTCTGATTGTTCCTTGCATTAGGTCAAAGATGGTTTGTGGAAACCTTCCTCTGTATGCTATGGCGACGATATCGGCGTAGGCAATAGCTTTGCCTCCACCCCACTCCCTTTACGTCAACAGCGAGCTTACTGTGAGATTCCAGAGCAATTGAGGGAGAATTCCAACCTGTGGAGTGCCCCTGCTTACATCTCTGGATACGTGATATCATTTCAGGTTCGCGTTTATAACCCTGCTTAATAACAGTTGATTGATGAAATCCGCTAATGGAGTGTCGACATCTGCATTCAATAAACTGGTACCCGTCTCCATGTCTGTGGTATGTGGTAAAACTTAACCACAGCAGGATACATATAAAGCTTTGAGCTATCTTGTGGATGGCTCCTAGCTATTCTGCAGCTGTGCAAGGATGATGAAGTCCGGTCCAGGTGCCTTATAAGGGCCGAAGGTTTTTATTGCACTGAACACCATTTCATCCGTAACTGGTAGATCGATAGCTCTGGGCAAAGGACTTGAGCTCACAGGAGTCTTCGAAATGCAAAGAAATTGAGTATATAAAAGTAGCTCTATTATAACCTTTAAAGAGGCAGCTCATATGTTTTCCTTTTTCTGAAGAAAACCTACCGAATTTGGTGATTTAGACATAATCACACTTAGTTTTGTAGTTTCCATTATTCCCTCAATATCAATGTAAAAATCCTTCTGCCGTCCCACAAGTAATGAGTAAATTTAGGTTTGATAGGAATATATTTTTCATACATTCAATGAGGATGTGCGACAGCGACGCATTGCAGAGTAGAGCTAGTATTATCATATAAAATTAAATTCATTTGCATTGCTGCCAATATATATATATATGAAAATTTATATATGTACGTTTATACTATTTGCATTAGAAAATATGGTAATTGTACAGGAGAGCGGCTTTTGCTAAAACTGTCCAGAAATTATGGGGTTTTTGGCTAAATAGGTGTATTTGATGATTATCTTTTCATTAAAAGAGGGGGAAAGCTGAATTTTGCAATAGTCTTATTATTATTAACATTTAGAGTTACACTAAAACTACTAGCACACACATTACATGCAAAGACATGGCTAAAGAGATGTTGCCATACTGTGTAGGAAACCTAAAACAGAGCAATAAATAAGACGGAGCAGGCGTGGGTCCGGCATAGTTTGTTTTACAATATTTTATTTTCGTTTTTATTCGTGTTATGAATTTTAGCTTTTATTCGTTTCAATAAATCGAAAATCAAACTATGCCGGACCCACACCTGCTTCGCCTTACTTATTGCTCTTTTTTAAGTTTCTTACACAGTATGACAACATCACTTTATCCATGTAATTGCATGTAATGTGTGTGCTAGATAATCATAAATCGTGATAAGATAATCATAAAAAAGCCCATAATTTTTGGACAGTTTTAGCAAAAGCCGCTCTCCTGTATAATTACCGAAAATATAACGTTTGCACAACCCAATGTACGTTTTCTGTGTTTAAGCATGAAACAACGTACTTACAGGCATTGGCGTTTTGCTTTCTGCAATTTGATGTACTTATGCATATATGCTTGTACGTGCGAACATACATATGTATATACGCATGCATGTTTATAGAATTAAGTGCAATTCTCAGGTGGATAGTGAAACAATAAACTTAAAGCGTCTATCAGATGCTAAACCACTTTCCTGGTATGGTGCTCGACAGCTAGCATATTTGCTTGCTTAACAGCACCAGAAACGCTGCCTGGTAAGACGCTCGAAAGCTTAAATGATTGCTTGCTTTGACGCTTAGCAGCACCAGGAGCTGCTGAAAAAGTTCCTAAGCCTGCCTTAAAAAACCGCTGGAGCACCTCCTCTCTCCACAAGTTTTGAAGATCCAAACAGCACATACCTTCCCTATTCCTAAACATCCTCTCCCTCCTACCCCCAGAAGCTTAGACATGTCTACTAAAACAAAATACGTGATACGTGATAAGCCAAATAACTTTGATAATTAGTTTAGAGATTTACATGAAGCCAATATTTATAAAAGGGGAGAAAATTACAGCATAAACTCAAATTATAAATTTTCTTTCCTATCTTCCCCACCATGATATTGAAACGAAACCTATGTGTTAAATACCTGAGCTTCCTGAATTATTTCCATGTTTTGAGATTTCGTTGCTGCGTTGGAGACTATATATAAACATTCGTTGTTAATTTTCGAAATAATCAAATCATCTAATATTCCACCATTGTTATTAGTGAATACTGTTAGGGATCCGGTACCAGGCGCCATTCCTTTAATGTCAGCAGTACATATTGATTCTATACATGACATCGCATCTTTCCCATGCACATAAGTTTGTAACATATGAGATACGTCAAATATGGAGCCATATCGCCTTGTGTGCAAATGTGATAAGTTTATGCTCTGATCAGTATATTGAAGAGGTAATATACAACCGCCAAAATTAACCATTTTCCCACCATGCTCGACATGGAAATCATATAGTGCTGTATGATGAATCCCTGACAAAACACGTAAGCTGATATGTAATTTTCCACAGGTTAAAAAAACTTTTTTTGTGCTGAAAACTGTAAACATTATGCACGGTGTAAATTAAATATAATGTTGCGTTGAAAAACCATATACTAAATGTAGCTCAAAGCTATGAAACAATATCAAATACCCTCATATATGATTTTCAAAGAGAGCTGATAACATATTGATAAGGACTCTCACCCCTGCAGGAAATTGTCTTCAAAAGCTCGAAACTAACTTAATTCCTAAGTTATGGAAAATTAATTTAAATAAAAGATTTGGTTAAATTTTCTGATTGCGGTCGCCACTCGTGAATGTCCAACCCTCCGAGTATATTTCGGACATGAAATAAAAGCTCCTCGTAAAAAAACATCAGCCGTCCGGAGTCAGCTTAGTATTAACTGCCGGTCACTTTATTTGTTGGGAAAACATCGAGACGCAAAACCACAAATTGGAGGAGGAGCTCGGCCGAAAAATCGCTTCAGCATCACACGAATACAAATTTTCAAAAATTGTGATAACTTTGCACATAATTTGTTGCAACTTAATTTACTTTCAGCATATGCTCTATAGAAGTTCGGCATCAATTGGAAACACAAAGAAACCGCTTTAAAAAAGGAAACCGCCGAAAAACTAAAAAACAAAATCTAATAAATTTTGTTTATTCAACCTCGTTGAAAATACCCTTAAACTTATGTAAGCATACGTTAACAATTTAAAGTCGGCGACGCAGACAACAATTTCATTAATTATGTTTTTCATACATTCAATGAGGATGTGCGACAGCGACGCATTGCAGAATACAGCTAGTATTATCATATAAAATTAAATTCATATTTTGCTGCCCATGAATATATATGTAAAATTTATGTATGAACGTTTATTCTATTTGCATTAGAAAATATAACATTAGCACCAACCAATGTACGTCCTCTGTGTTTAAGAATGAATCACCGTACTTATAGGCATTGGCGTTTTGTTTTCTGCAATTTGATGTACTTATGCATATAAGCATGGACGTGTGTATATACATATGGGACGCTTTGCAGAGTACAGCTAGTATTATCATATAAAATTAAATTCATATTTTGCTGCCAATAAATATATATGTAAAATTTAAATATGCACGTTTATTCTATTTGCATTAGAAAATATGGTAATTATACAGGAGAGCGGCTTTTGCTAAAACTGTCCAAAAATTATGGGATTTTTGGCTAAATAGGTGTATTTGATGATTATGTTTTCTATGTTTTCATTAAAAGTGGGGGAAAGCTGAATTTTGCAATAGTTTTATTATTATTAACATTTAGAGTTACACTAAAACTACTAGCACACACTTTACCTGCAAATACATGGCTAAAGCGATGTTGCCATACTGTGTGGGAATCTTAATATAGAATGAATAAGACATAGTATGGCTAAAGCGATGTTGCCATACTGTGTAGGAAACCTAAAACAGAGTAATAAATAAGACGGAGCAGGTGTGGGTCCGGCATAGTTTGTTTTTTCGATTTATTGAAACGAACATAAGCGAAAATTCATGTTGCTTACATATTTACATACAGATACAGATACTGAAATTCATATTACTTTCATGTATACATACAGATACAAAAACGAAAGCGCATGACCCTCACATATTTTTATAATAAATAAACTATTCATTCACGTAAACTTTTTTCGGGTCGTATAGCCGCGCTTTAAATTGTAACACTGGGCCGGACTAACACCGGTTTCGCCTTACACAGTACTCTTAAGTGAAACTTCTTTATAAGTTGGAGGCGTTCGGCCGCGCTTTGGATTGTAACCCTGGGCGGGACCAACACCGGCTTCGCCTTGCACAGTATTTGTAAATGAAATGCCTAATGAAAAATACTGTTTATTTTCTATGTTAGTTTACATGGTACGGCTATACCTTTCATATTTTTTGTCGAATATTGTTGAATTTATATAATATTTCACCCTGTACGGCAAAACCCTCTAGATTAGTAAGCAGCCATGGTTAAGTGAACATTTGCTTTGATTGTAATAAAATATGTTAATGTTTATTGAAGTTACATTGCACGTTAATTTATAAAAAATAATTGAAAATATTTAATAAAATCAAAGTAAAATTTGTGTTTGTTAAGCGAAAATAAAAGAATTGTGAGCATTTCATAAAGAATAAAGCTAACAATTTATAACAACAAATAACTAATAAACTATATTATATTTAAATTCCAAAACTTAAAATATTGGAAAATATATTTCTATCATCATTCCAACGAAGTTTCATGTCGGAATTCCTAGTTGAATGCTTACAATATCAAGTGGGGCTGCAAACCAAAGCTCAGCCAATATGAACATTCGTTTTTATCCGTGTTATGAATTTTAGCTTTTATTCGTTTCAATAAATCGAAAATCAAACTATGCCGGACCCACACCTGCTTCGCCTTACTTATTGCTCTTTTTTAAGTTTCTTACACAGTGTGGCAACATCGCTTTAGCCATGTAATTGCATGTAATGTGTGTGCTAGTTAGTGTAACTTTGATAATTATTAATGTTAATAATAATGAAACTATTGAAAATTCAGCTTTCCCCGCTTTTAGTGAAAAGATAATCATTAAAACCCCCATATTTTTTCACAGTTTAGCAAAAGCCGCTCTCCTGTATAATTACCGAAAATATAACGTTTGCACAAACCAATGTACGTTTTCTGTGTTTAAGCATGAAACATCGTACTTACAGGCATTGGCGTTTTGCTTTCTGCAATTTGATGTACTTATGCATATATGCTTGTACGTGTGAACATACATATGTATATACGAATGCATGTTTATAGGATTAAGTGCAATTCTCAGGTGGATAGTGAAACAATAAACTTAAAGCGTCTATCAGATGCTAAACCACTTTCCTGGTATGGTGCTCGACAGCTAGCATATTTGCTTGCTTAACAGCACCAGAAACGCTGCCTGGTAAGACGCTCGAAAGCTTAAGTGGTTGCTTGCTTTGACGCTTAGCAGCACCAGGAGCTGCTGAAAAAGTTCCTAAGCTTGCCTTAAAAAACCGCTGGGGCACCTCCTCTCTCCACAAGTTTTGAAGATCCAAACGGCACATACCTTCCCTATTCCTAAACATCCTCTCCCTCCTACTCCCAGAAGCTTAGACATGTGTACTAAAGCAAAATACGTGATACGTGATAAGCCAAATAACTTTGATAATTAGTTTAGAGATTTATATGAAGCCAATATTTATAAAAGGGGAGAAAATTACAGCATAAACTTAAATTATAAATTTTCTTTCCTATCTTCCCCACCATGATATTGAAACGAAACCTATGTGTTAAATACCTGAGCTTCCTGAATTATTTCCATGTTTTGAGATTTCGTTGCTGCGTTGGAGACTATATATAATCATTCGTTGTTAATTTTCGAAATAATTAAATCATCTTATATTCCACCATTGTTATTAGTGAATACTGTTAGGGATCCGGTACCAGGCGCCATTCCTTTAATGTCAGCAGTACATATTGATTCTATACATGACATCGCATCTTTCCCATGCACATAAGTTTGTAACATATGAGATACGTCAAATATGGAGCCATATCGCCTTGTGTGCAAATGTGATAAGTTTATGCTCTGATCAGTATATTGAAGAGGTAATATACAACCGCCAAAATTAACCATTTTCCCACCATGCTCAACATGGAAATCATATAGTGCTGTATGATGAATCCCTGACAAACCACGTAAACTGATATGTAATTTTCCACAAGTTAAAAAAAAAAACTTTTTTTGTGCTGAAAACTGTAAACATTATGCACGATGTAAATTAAATATAATGTTGCGTTGAAAAATCATATACTAAGTGTAGCTCAAAGCTATGAAACAAAATTAAATACCCTCACGTATGATTTTCAAAGAGAGCTGATAACATATTGATAAGGACTCTCACCCCTGCAGGAAATTGTCTTCAAAAGCTCGTTGCTTTTTAGTCCATGATTGCAATGAAACTAATTCCTAAGGTTTGGAAAACTAATTTAAATAAAAAAATTGGTTAATTTTTCTGATTGCGGTCGCCCCCCGGGAATGTCCAACCCTCCGAGTGTATTTCGGACATGAAATAAAAGCTCCTCGTAAAAAAACATCAGCCGCCCGGAGGCAGCTTAGTATAAACTGCAGGTCACTATATTTTTTAGGAAAACATCAAGATGCAAAACCACAAATTGGAGGAGGAGCTCGGTTGAAAAATCGCTTCAGCATCACACGAATACAAATTTTCAAAAATTGTGATAACTTTGCACATATTTTGTTGCAACTTAATTTACTTTCAGCATACGTGGCAGTGCTCTACACAAAGAGACCGCTTTAAAAAAGGAAACCGCCGAAAAACTAAAAAACAAAATCTAATAAATTTTGTTTACTTAACCTCGTTGAATATATTCTTAAACTTATGTAAGCATACGTTAATAATTTAGAGTCGGCGACGCAGACAACAATTCCATTAATTAAGGGGAAGAAAATTTATTAATTATACGAAGCATTATGCCTGGCGTCGACCTGGCACGATAGGACTATTCGCCTGATAATGCCAAGTGCTCCCGAAGTTAAACGAGACTGCAAAATTTTTAAAAGATCTGCCTTTGTTTTCGACAGTACATATTGTAACCACGATGGTAAAAAAGTTTTCACATTTCATCGACTTTGAACCACCGCGGTAGCATTGAGTACTGCTATTCGGAAGATTCGGATTCAAGTCCCCATGCGACCAACATCCAAAAGTTATAGAAAATTGATTTAAATCAAAAATGAAGCTAATTGCGATCGCCTCGGAAGGGAATGTCCTCCCCTCCGAGTGTATTTCGGACAAGAAATAAAGGCTCCTCGCAAAAATACCATCAGCCGTTCGGAGGCGGCTTAGTATAGACAGTAAGTCAGGGCCAGATATAGGCTTTAAAATGTATTGCATTTTGTATGTTCAATGACAAAATAGCGTCATTCAGTTTGAAAACCTTTAATATTTGAGAAGAAATCTTTATTTCCGACTGTAGGCTGCCAATCCCATGAAGAGTCGTTATAACCATTCCACACCCTGAACATTTTTAAATCAAATGTCTAAATATGAGAAACAATTACCAATAACAAAA